GGAGGAGGAGGAGGAGGAGGCGTCGAAAAAAGGCCCTCAAAACCATCTCTGGGTAGACTTGGTCGGGCTGCGGTCGGGATATTTTGCGCCGGGGACACCCAAGGGCCGCCCCGCGCGCGCGAGCTAGAAATATTGTCAACCAGTTACCGGAGATCTTAGCACGCCTCTGGCCCGTTGGGCCGGCGAATTTCAATACGTCCCCGGCCCCCACCTGGGCCGCGCATTTGCCGTCGGCCATGATTCGCGCCCCCCCCCTTGCCCGCCCCCCTCGTGGACGCCCCCGAGCCGACGCGCGTGCCCAATCTCTTGACTGTTTTCTTGCTTGAGCCGTCCGTCTCGGCGCGCCCTCCGCGCCGTCCCGCGCCATCTGGCCGAGCCCCGCGCGCGCCCGTCGAGCCCGCGGCTGAGGGGCCAACCATGCCAGAACCAAAATCGCTACGGCCTCCTCCTCCTCCTCCTCCTCCTCTCATCTTCCTCCTCCTCCTCCTCTCCTCCCTCCTCCTCCTCCTCCTCCTCTCCTCCTCCTCTCCTCCTCCTCCTCCTTCTCCTCCCCCCTCCTCCTCCGCCTCCTCCTCCTCTCTCCTCCTCCTCCTCCTCCTCCTCTCCTGCCCCTCCTCCCTCCTCCTCTCTCTTTTCCTCTTCCTCCTCCTCCTCCTCCTCCCCCTCCCCCTCCTCTCCTCCTCCCTCCCCTCCCCCTCCTCCCTGTCCTCCTTCTCCTCCATTCCTTTTCCTTATAAGTAGCTTCTCCCTGTCGCACTCCGAGGCCGGTCGAAATGGCGGGCCGAGCGTTTCGCCAGAGTTGTCTTTACCATTTATGACTTCGGGACTTTAAAACATTGCCAACAGTTTTCAACATGTAGCTCTCGCGCTGGCGCCGCGCACACTCGTTGTTAACACTTGCTTGAGTTCCACGGATTGAAGGCTGTTCTCGCCTCAGCGTCGCGCACATGCGTTTTTTATTCAACAAATTGCTAGGGTCTCACGGATTGAGGGCGGCTCGTTTTCAAACGGTGGTTCTCGTCTTAGCGCCGCGCGTATTCTTTTCAAGGGCTTGCATGAGCTTTACGGATTGAGGGCGGTTCGTCCAAATGTGTTTCTCGCCATAGCGCCACGCTCATTATTGTTTTTATCTGAATGATCAACGTACCAGAAAGAACGTTTTGGACATATTCAGAATTACGAGGGTGTAACAGTTACGATGATTCTCGGTGTTGAGATCCCAGGACTGGCGTTCTGGCAAGATTCATGATCGTCATGACGCAAACAGTCAGGTGGATCCGTGGCGTTGAAGTCCCAAAATGTTTGGGCATGCTTCAGGGTTGTCAGACAGTTCTCTTTCAACGCGTCTCGTTTCCGCCAGTTTTCCTCCAGTGGAGGGGGAATCTGAAGAGGAGGCCGTATTCCAACATCATTGATGACTCTTGGGTTTACTCTGGTCCTCTTTCTCCTCCTCTTCCTATTCCTCCTCCTCCGTCTCTCCCTTCTCCTCCTCCTCCTTCCCCTTTCTCTCCTCCCGCTCCTCCTCCTCCTCCTCCTTCTTCTCCTCCCCCTTCTCTTTCTCCTCCTCCTCTTCCTTCTTTTCTTCCGCCTCCTCCTCGGCCTCCTCCTACTCCTCCTCCCCCTCCTCCTTCTCCCTCTCCTCCTGCTCCACCTCCTCCTCCTCCTCCTTCTCCTCCTCCTTCTCCACCTCCTCCCCCTCCTCCTCGTCCTCCTCCTCTTCCTCCTCCTCCTCCTCATCATCAGCATCGTCATCATCGTCCTCGTCCTCGTCTTCGTCCTCGTCTTCCTTCTCCCCCTCCGCCTCGTCATTAGTCTTCTCTTCCTCCTCCTCCTCCTCCTCCTCCTCCTCCTCTTCCTCCCCCTCCTCCTCCTCCTCCTCCTCCTCCTCCTTCTCCTCCTCCTCCTCCCCCCTTCTCCCTTCTCCTCTCCTCCTCCTCCTCCTCCCTCCTCCTCCTCCTCCTCCTCCCTCCTCCCTCCTCCTCCTCCTCCTCCTCCTCCTCCTCCTCCTCCTCCTCCTCCTCCTCCTCCTCCTCCTCCTCCTCCTCCTCCTCCACCTCCTCCTCCGTCTCCTCCTCCTCCTCCTTCCTTTCCTTCTCCTCATCTTCCTCCTCCTCCTCCTCCTCCTCCTTAGGAGCGATCTTCCAAGGTTATCTTTGCATCATTTCCCATCGGCCCATCCTCGGTCACTTTCGCTAGCCGCGCACCGCTCGAAAGGTGTCGACATGGCCTTCCAATGCCCTTGCATCCTTACCACGCATCCTTATGATGCGTTTTGACTGTAAGTCCGAGGGAAGAAACACGGGGGCGATGACCAAGATGTCGCGGGATCTTGTCGATGCCGATCTTGGTCATGGTCCATGCCGGCCGTCGCCGATCCGCGAGGTCTCTCCACGAATCGGTGCTGACCAAGATCGACGGTGACCAAGATCGGCACGTCATGTCCGTGCTCAGCCTTGGTCATGGCCCCCGCTCTCTGCTTCAAGAGTGCGTGGATTCGCGGCGGGGCCCGTCTTCTGGTGCGGTCGAGCTGGGTACTGAAGGAATGGGGACGACGGCTCGTTTCGGACGAGGCTTCTTTCTCGTTTCGGAATCGAGATTCGGAATCGAGATTGCCTTTTTCATTCGTTTCGGGCGAAGCTCGGTGCCGGTGTCGCCATGGACGCTGTCCTTTTTTAAGACAGAGGGCCGCCTGCCCCCCCCTGGGTGTTGGACAACGTTTTGTCGTGGCACCCAGCCCCCATTCGCCGAAGAGGAGGAGGACCGACAGAAAGTCTGTGACCGAAATCGTGCCCGAAGTTATGGCTGCAAACGACTTTTGCAGTCACGACGTTTACCGTAGTGGGGCCGAAATCTCGGGGGGCGATAGGGAGAAGGGGGAAGGTTACGAACTCTGCTGCATGCAGCTGGTTTCGGCCCCGCCGCCGGGCCCATTCCCCGATGCGTGGGCGCCTTTTGGCGCCGGGAGGCGCCAGGCAAATCAGCTACGTGCGCTGATTCTCTACCCTACCCTTTGCTGTCCCCCCTTTCGCTCCCCCGAAAATCGTGACCGACATTGGACATCGTCTTGGTGTCGAGCCAGACACATCGGGAACTCTCGGTCGCCGTCGGAAAAAACTCAGGAGGAAAACAAGCACACAGACACAATTAATCTTCGATTCCCCAGAAAATATAGGAAAATATGGGAAGTGGGGGGGGGGGAAGACAGAAGCCCAGAAATTATAGGAAAATATGGGGAATCCTTTTATTTGTGTGTATTAATTTGTGTGTCCTGGGGCCCCTTGACTGGTGTCGAGCCAGACACCTCGGGAACTCTCGGTCGCGGTCGGAGAAAGCTCTGGGCGCAGGTCTCGGTCGCACTCGGGCAGGCCCTCGGGCACAGCTTCGGCCACGACGCCTCCCTGACAGCTCTGCACGAACGAGATGGGCACGGAAAGAATGGGTACTATGCCCAACAGCAGTTCCTGTTCATTTTGAACAGGACACGCTGTCCACGCCGCCGCGGCCTGTGTCCACTTGAGACAGAAGGCCGCCCGACCAACAGCGGCCGCTGTTGGTTTGGGACAACATTTGTTGTTGGGCACTGTACCCATTCTTTCCGTGCCCACCTCGAGCGTCCAAAACAGCGACGAGGCCCCGTGGCAGTCGTTGTTGGGCATCGTGCCCGTTCTTTCCGCACTCCGAGTTTCTTAATCCTTGAGATTCTGGCGGCTCCATTTTTTCGAGCCGGGCGTTTTTGCCTTTCTGTTCGGGTCCGGGGGCCCTCGCAGATCGGTCCGGCCCGAAAAATGGCGCAGGAAGGTGCTCCGGTCGCGCGGATGTTCACGATGCTGTAACTTTTTGCTGCGTCGGATCTCAGGGACAAGCGTCGGGGGGGGGCGTCACCCCCGCCGACAGCCCCGCATCGACCCCCGCCACGGGCAGCCACCGCGCGCCGGAGGCGCTCCGACCCCCGTCGCGGCGCGACGACGAGGCGAGGTCGACCCCCGTCGGGGGGGTACCCCCCCACGCTCGTTGAGAAACCCAGAGTACCTGTTTGGGGCGTCCAAGGTCTTGACGCGACGTCAACGCGCTCCGTCGCCAGATCAGGAGGAGGAGGAGGAGGAGGAGGAGGAGGAGGCAAAGGAGGAACAGGAGGAGAAGGAGGAGAAGGAGGAGGAGGAGGAGGAGGAGGGAAAGGAGGGAAAGGAGGGAGGAAAGGAGGGAAAGGAGGAACAGGAGGGAAAGGAGGGAAAGGAGGGAAAGGAAAGGAGGGAAAGGAGGAACGGGAGGGAGAGGAGGAGCAGGAGGAGAGGGAGGAGAGGGAGGACCAGGAGAAACAGGATGCCCAGGAGGAAAAGGCGGAAAGGTCTGGGCGCGACGTCGGCGCGCTCTGGCGCCAGGTCAGGGGGCACTGGGTGCCATCCCTCGGCCGGCCAGCGTCGGGCCTCTCCGGGTGCCCCCTCGGGCCGGTGGCGAGGAGCCGCGCTCTCCCCGGGCGTGAGTTGGGCGTGTCCCTCCACAGGAGGAGCACTCAAAGATAGCCAAAACCACTCAGACCCTCAGACCTCCTCCTCTGAATACTCCTCAGACCTCCTCCTCCTCTGAATACTCCTCCCATGGAGGGCGTGTCCCTCCATAGGAGGAGTATTCAAAGGAGGAGGTCTGAGGGGGCGATGGCTTGAGTACGTGTCGGCTACATGTTGGTGCACGTTTTGGGTGTTTTTTGTCCGTCCATCTCTCGTCCAGAATCCGCCTGTAGGGGGACACGCCCGACCTAACTCTCGGCCTCCCAGGTGGGGTCGGAGCAGATGGGATCGGAGGAGATCGCGCCGCATCGCCGATGCACTAGCGATGCGGTTCGATGCGGAGCCCGATGTTCTCCACGCTGGCGTCGCCGATGCATCGCCGACGTCGCCGACGCATCGGCGATGCGGTGGCGATGCGGCGCAACCCTCCGACTCCATCTACTCGGACAACTTCCAATCGAGAGGCCTCCATTCTCGCGTCCCCCTCCCCCGCAGGAGCCCAAAGGCGTGAGCAACGTCGTGCAGGCGATCTCCGCGATGGTGCAGGCGCCCAGCCGACATCTTCGTCGTCCTCGTCCGTCGGAGTCGGCACCAGGGTCGGCGGCCGCCGCTGTCGTCGGAGTCGGCCGCGTCGCCATCGTCGCCTTCGGCGTCGGCTCCGTCGGGGTCGTCGCGGCGGCCATGGCGGGGGCCCAGCGATGGGAAGGCTGCGATGCATCCAGTGGTGGCAGCCACCTGGAGATCCTTGGCGAAATGACTTGCGCCATGTATCGTAAGGGTGGTGCTGCTTCACTGGAGGGCTCTCGGCGCTTCCGTCCACCCATCCCTCAGGGCAGGCCTGCATGATGAGGAGGGTGAGTTCAGGGACAACGGGGGGGATGCATCAGCCCCCAAGCGTCCATTCTATGCCGATGTGGGCCTGATAGCCCACCCTGCCCAGGAGCGTGCGGACGTGTCATCGGGGGCTGAACGCGGATCTATCGGCGATGTATCCTGCCGATTTCTGGTCGATGTGACCCCCTCTGAGCGGGTCCCCCCTCTCGCTGCCCCTCAGGAGTGGAGGGTGGCGGGGAGGGGGAGGCGGAGGGGCAGGGGGGGAGGGGCAGGGGGGAGGATGGCGAGGCGGGCCAGGAGCAGACGTGGAGCCAATTATCCTGGCGAAGGTCCCAACCATATGCAGTTGTGGGTACCGTAATTGTGAATATCTGCTTCGGTGAAGCTCCCTATGGGGCCACGAAGCGCTGCACTGGGCGGAGGGGAACGCTGTACTGTGTGGGTGGTGTGCCGAATTCGGTTTCCGGGACGCATGCGGACGGTCCCATTGAGGGCTTCGGTGGAGCTTCCTATGGGGCCACGAAGCGCTCTACTGAGTGAGTGAAAATGCCAAATTGCATGCGGACGGTCCCATTGGGGGCTTCGGTGCAGCCCCCTATGGGGCCACGAAACGCTGCACTGCGCGGGTGAAAATGCCAAATTTCATTTCCCAGACGCATGCGGACGGTGGCACTGGGGCCTTGGGTGGAGCCCCTTATGGGGCCACGAAACGCTGCACTGGGTGGGTGAAAATGCCAAATTGGGCTTCCGGGACGCATGCGGACGGGGGCACTGGGGCCTTCGGTGGAGCTCCTTATGGGGCCACGAAGCGCTGTACTGGGTGTGCGGGACGCATGCGGACTGTAGCGCTGGGACCTTCGGTGGGGCTCCCTATGGGGCCACGAAACGCTGTACTGGGTGTGCGGGACGCATGCGGATGGTAGCACTGGGACCGTGGATGGGGCCCCCTATGGGGCCACGAAACGCTGTACTGGGTGTGCGGGACGCATGCGGACTGTAGCGCTGGGACCTTCGGTGGGGCTCCCTAGGGGGCCACGAAACGCTGTACTGGGTGTGCGGGACGCATGCGGATGGTAGCACTGGGACCTTCGGTGGAGCTCCCTATGGGGCCACGAAACGTTTTAATTGGTGTGCGGGACGCATGCGGACGGTAGCACTGGGACCTTCGGTGGGGCTCCCTTTGGGGTCACGAAGCGCTGTACTGGGTGGGTGAAACGCAGGGAGGAGGGGGAGGAGGGCCACGAAACGTTTTAATTGGTGTGCGGGACGCATGCGGACGGTAGCACTGGGACCTTCGGTGGGGCTCCCTATGGGGTCACGAAGCGCTGTATTGGGTGAGTGAAACGCAGGGAGGAGGGGGAGGAAGGCCACGAAACGCTGTACTGGGTGTGCGGGACGCATGCGGACGGTAGCACTGGGACCTTCGGTGGGGCTCCCTATGGGGCCACGAAACGCTGTACTGGGTGTGCGGGACGCATGCGGACGGTAGCATTGGGACCTTCGGTGGGGCTCCCTATGGGGCCACGAAACGCTGTACTGGGTGGGTGAAACGCAGGGAGGAGGCCACGAAACGCTGTACTGGGTGTGCGGGACGCGCGCGGACGGTAGCATTGGGACCTTCGGTGGGGCTCCCTATGGGGCCACGAAGCGTGTACTGGGTGAAACGCAGGGAGGAAGGGGGAGGAGGGCCACGAAACGCTGTACTGGGTGTGCGGGACGCATATGGACGGTAGCACGGGGACCTTCGGTGGAGCTCCCTATGGGGCCACGAAGCGCTGCACTGGGTGTGCGGGACGCATGCGGACGGTAGCACTGGGACCTTCGGTGGGGCTCTCTATGGGGCCACGAAGCGCTGTACTGGGTGGGTGAAACGCAGGGAGGAGGGGGAGGAGGGCCACGAAACGCTGTACTGGGCGTGCGGGACGCATGCGGACGGTAGCGTTGGGACCTTCGGTGGAGCTCCTTGTGGGGCCACGAAACGCTGTACTGGGCGTGCGGGACGCATGCGGACGGTAGCACTGGGACCTTCGGTGGAGCTCCCTATGGGGCCGCGAAACGTTGCACTGGGTGTGCGGGACGCATGCGGACGGTAGCATTGGGACCTTCGGTGGGGCTCCCTATGGGGCCACGAAGCGTTGTATTGGGTGGGGAAGGGAGGAGGGCCACGAAACGCTGTACTGGGTGTGCGGGACGCATGCGGACGGAAGAGAGGAGGGGGAGGAGGAGGAAGATGAGGAGAACGCGGGGACCGCCTCTTCAAAACGAGGACCCAACACCACAGGATGGGTGGGAAAAAACAGGAGGAGGTCGACTCGATTGATGCGGATAGATCTCCAATTCGGCCAGCATGGCCTCCACTGTCCGACGAAGCGATGCGGCACCGTCCACGGCGCAGTTGCGCACCACGGCGCGGCCCATCTGATTCGGTATCGATCCCGTGCCGACGCAGCCCTAGAGTCGATGCGCGTGCCGATCCAACGCGATTCAACGCTTCGATGTGTGCTGTTCCTGGGAAGAGGTAAACGAGAGGGAGATGGACAAGGGAGATGGGGTACGAGAGGGACAGGGAGTGGTAGGAGGAGGAAGAGGAGGAGGAGGAGGAGGAGGAGGAGGAGGAGGGAGAGGGAGAGGAGGAGGAGGAGAAGGAGGAGGAGGAGGAAGAGGAGGAGGACGAGGAGGGAAAGGAGGGAAAGGAGGAAAAGGAGGAACAACAAATGAACATGAGGAAAAGGAGTAAAAGGAGGAGGAGGGGGAGAGGGAGGGGGAGAGGGAGGGGGAGGAGGAGGTATAACCTGTGTTTCATTGACGGAAACTTCCACATTGAGGGGGGTCCTGAGAGTTGCGTTGCGGGTTCCAAGGGTGCCAGGGGCCAGAGTTCGACGAGAATTTTCAAAATGGACGATTGGCTTAGCCATTTTCGGTTGAAGGCTGCCAGCGCTATGTTTGGAGGAGATGGTGATTTCACTCTTGTGTCCAACAAGGTGGGCACCTGACATCGCATCGACGATATAGTCACCCTTGAAGCTATGTTTCAGGCCATGTCCGACGTAACTGTCGATCACCAGGTCGGCCTCATCAGAAAAGCTGGTGACAAGTCCCCTGTGCTTACGAAGCTGGCATGGACCAAGCAGACAGTGAGAAGTTTGCTGGAGGCCCGGCCCCGGACAGGAATCTGATACAGGTCAGGCAGACCCTCAAGGACATGGAGCTTGACCCACGGAAGGTCGATGTGAATGCCCAGCAGTCCAACCCCAATAGCTACAGGGAGGTCAAAAAACTAGACGGGCATGCCCGGCTTCAGTCTCGCGGACCTACTCTAAAATCATTTGTTCTTTTGTTCCTTATGTTGTTTCATGCCTTACCGTCATCTCGCGAGTGATCGTCGAAAACCTAGTTTTTAAAATGGTCACGGCTATCTTCCCCACCTCCTCTTCCTCCTCCTCTCCCTTCTCCTCCTTCTCCCCCTCCTCCTCCTCCTCCTCCTCCTCCTCCTCCTCAGCTGCCGGTTCAGACGTGCACAGCGCGCGGGCAGCCCGCCCCAAAGCAGGGAACCGTCCCTTTCAGGAGCGAGGATACTGTACCTCACTTCCCCCTCTTGCAGGAGGCCTACTGCTTGCATGAAACGAGTTGGGAGGTTTCTGGCAGCTGTACTGACGGAGAGAATTATGAAAGTGTGCACATGCAACCCGTTGTCTGCATCGCACGAGAGGCATGAAGATATATCCAGCGAGTTGGGATCGTGGGACGTGGTGCTTGTATCTGGCACATGCCAAGTTGCACAGCCCGACCATGGAGCGCAGCAACATGCACACGCGCGACACTGGGGAGTACACTTTGGGAAGAGGAAGGGAAAGCTAGTGTCGGACGCATGCGGGGTCACGATTTTGGTACACAATCGGATACCTAGTCGAGCATTGCACACTGTATACGTACCTCCAGTGCAAATACGAGGGCGGGTGGGTGGCATTCGCATTCAGACGAATGAAGTTGACTTCGTGGCCTTCTGTATCTACCTCGCCCCGATGAGTGATGCGAAGCACACACTGGTCGCAGAAAGGGTATTTAAGTGGATAGACCAGCAGTTGGACGCACTGGGGGTGAGATGTGCTATTAGCTATTATAATAGGAGGGGGCGTGAATAGCGGACTGGGAATACATAGAGACGACGATGGTACCATGCAGAGGACAAGAAGCGCGACCCTAGGAGGAAATAACCTTTGTTGCGAGAACGAGAATGGTAGGGCATACAGAGAGTTCTGCTACAAGAGCGGGCTGGCAGTGGTAACTACTTTCTACGAGCATGGGCCCACCTTCTACGGCCCCAAGGGGCAAGAGTCACATATTGATCACGTGGCTGTCCCTATCGGGGCCATCCCGCTTGTCTCTCAGTGCAGCTGCCTATATAGAGCAGCAAAAAGACTCCAGATGATCCCAGATAGAAGGTTCAGGGGCCACATCCCGATAGGTATACACGTGGAGATGTCAGTCGCCAACCACGGGTACCCGACAGGTGACAACGACAAGATAGATCGGGGGTGCTCGATAAGGTGCCTGCAGAAAGGCTACAGAAGAGAAGAGCTGTTCACTAAGATAGTTGAACAGATAAAAAAAGGTAACTATAGGTATCTGGGAGCAGCTGTATTCTAAGAAGCCCCCTGATTTCTTCTGGAAAGAGTACGTTGGGTGTGTGAACGCGGCGTTGCACGGCGCGT